CCATGCCTGCAACATAAGTTGAAAAATGCAGTCACAGACTAACAATGTGAATATGGGCATTGTCTATGTATATCACATTGTAGCAATATGAATGTCAACTATTACATGGGCATTGATATGGTGGTATTACATTGCCTGCATAGTTTCCATGTCAGTAATATAGCCTCTGATCCTTTAACGTATACTTTAACGGGAAACTTGACTGTTTTGCAACGTGACGAGCTTTTGCGAAGTAGCTATTGGAAGTGGTGTGTAACCCATCAACCGTTGGCTTCTGGTTATTCACGGCAAGAGTTTCCAGAACACAAGACGTGATTGTTGGAATGGATTAATCTGGAAAGTTGCGATGAATGGTTGTATTAGTGAGATGAAGAGACACACCTAAATCAAGAAACACCATTTTGTCTATAAATACCCACCACGGTTGCCATTTGCATTTCTTTCATTTTTCATTCTTCTCTCCCTCTCTCAACACGAACCCACCCAAGTGGGTGTAGGTTCAAGCTATAGGTCAAGCAGTCGAAGCCAATTAGACCCAAGAACAATATTGATCAGTCATATTAAAATTGGTCCGAACCATTTGGTTTAGATAGCACCTAATTCATTATTTATATAGTATAAATGCATTTTTGAGTCAAAGACAGTATTACACAGTGGAGGTTCGCCTTATATATCAATGAGTTTGAAGTACTGTTACTGGTGGATGTAAACCATTGTATCATGGGAGACAAGTGTCATGGAGATTGTTAGCACCGTGAGGGGTGTAAATTATCTTAAGGCCCACTGCAACAAAATGGAGCTTTTGTGACGAAGTTTTATTGACCAAATATATTTGGTCAACAAAAGTAGTTTTTTAGTGACCAAATATTTTTTTGTCACCATTAGTGTATGTTTTTAGCAACTAAGAACAAAATTTGTCGATAATCGTTTGGCAGGAAGTTGGCGCTCTTTCATGCTCCTTGGAGGGATCTAAACTTGGTAACTTTTTTGTACTAGCCACGAATGTTTTCGTCTCTTTGAAATTTTTGCAATACGACAATATTCTTTCCTAAAAATATTATTTTAGACAGCGCTATTTTATTAGTAAAAAAACCCAAAAAGGAAAAGGTCCTGTATGCACGCATATGATTTCTTCCCCCAATCTCTAAGTTTTCTCAGTTTCCCCCGCTAGAGCAAATTGATCTCTTGATTAAATTCCAATATCTTATCCCTAATCCAAAACAAAAAAAATTCATTATCCCACACACAGCGCGCCTCTTTTTTCTCAAAAACCCTAGATTTATCTTTGTTTTATGTGCTCTCCTCTAACAAATATATCCATAGAATCCGATTATCAGGATTATCTCAAAGCGTTGTGCGTGTGTCTGCAAGAGATATTCCAACAATATCTTACACTTCAACGTTGGTGTCCAAAGTGCTCTCCATCCTTTTCTCCAATTTCCAAAGCCGCGGCCTGCTATTTACTCCATCAATAATAGATTGAAGCCCTTAAATCTCGGTAAGTTTCAAATCTTGAATTATATTTCTTAATCACTTTGGAATTTGTTGTTTGTTCTTTTCAATTCTGATACTTTGTAAATAATTTAGTTTTACAATTTAGGCTTTTGATTTGCTTTTGAAAAATCTATCATCATTCATGAAAATACATTTATACATGTTATGATTATATGAGTTTAATGATCTGTTATGGATATGGGTACTGAGAAGATATCTCCTAACTTTTGCCTTGCAGCTCTGTCATCGGATTTGTAGCAGTGATTCTTCTTTAACGTCGTTTCTGTTATAGAAGAATAATATATACAAACAAGGTATGTCGTCTGTTATAGATTCTAGTGATATTCCAGTGATTTGTCTTTAACGTCATTGTTGTTATAAAAGTATGTCAGTATGTCGCCTGTTATAGATTCCAGTTATCTAGGTTTGGCCTTGGGCCTTATTTGTATATATTGTTCTCCCTTCTCTCTCTCCATTAAAATAATTAATTACATGTTCTCTTCGATCTCCTACCTACATCTTGTCATTTGTTTTTAAGTTCTCTCTCATTTTTTTAAAAAATATTTATATATTTTTTTCTACTCCCATTTTGTCATCTCGCTCTCTCTCTTCCCTTTTAATGAAATTCTATTATTAGCTTATTATTATCAAGTGTATTTGTCTCTGAATTGAGGTCTTCGTCTTTCCCTTCCTTTGACTACTACCGGGCTGCTTTGGTTTCATTGGCTTTAAATCAATATTAACATTTTTAATTGAATAGTTTATATATTTAAGAATTGCTTTTTGCATATATGATTATTGTGATCACATCTGTGGTGATGCTGTAATTTTTTTGTATGAGATTCTAATGTAATTTTCTATTATGACATAACTTGTTTTTTATGCTCCTTATTAGAAGTCTGACTTTAAATTTTTTTTACATACATAGTTATTTTTGGTTGGTTTTGTGGGTCTGGACCATTGATACATTGGATTAAGTTGACAAGCTTGGGATTCTAGAGTTACTAAGAGCGGCTAATAGAATTTTTTTTTTTTTTTTTTCCTAAATGGAGTAAGTTTTATGAATAATATCAATAATGTACAAAGAAACTATGACTGCATACCCTCATGACAAAGGAACATACTCCTAAAGAGAGAAGAAGACAGTCAAGGATAGACCCCTTGACAAAAGAAAACCATAGACAAAGATACTGACAAAGCTATAAATCTAACTTATCAAACTTCTCCAACCAAAGAAAGAAGAAAGCAGCAAAAACAAGAGATTTTGCAGCTTCCTACATTGAACATCTGGCCAGGAGAAAAAGACAACACTTGGACATACATCTAAGAACATTCTAAATGTAAAGCTCTGATAAACCAGTCCAAATATGCCATAAGATCGAAGACACAGCAACCGCAATAAGAGACTACTAAAATACAGCAGCAGGGCTAAAAACAAACCCCTATGCTCTTAAGCCCCTTCATGAAAGGAAGAGCCTGCGCATCTAGCAGCTTCAAACATTGAACTTCTGATGAGGAGAGACAAACATCTTTGAACATATTCTGTAACTACAGAACTTGCTGAATAAGTTTGAATTAACTTTAGAGATGGCTTTTTAGATGCTTTCACAATCATCTAAAATAATTTTAAAACACATGAAAGAGCGAAAATAATTTTTGCAATGATAGATAAGCTCTAATTAAGGCTATAACAACCTTGTTGGAGGCTTTTCCCTGTCCTAAAATGAGATTAAAAAAAGTTTTATGTAAATTAAACTTGTTTACTTCTATTAATTTTGGGTCTTTTGTATTAACATTTACCTATAAGAATCTCAATAAAAAAATGCTTTTCAACCTTCATTGTAATTTGAAAAGGGAATGTGTGGTTTTTCTGTGTCATCGTGTACTTGTATGCTTGAATCAGTTTCCTCTTGAGAGGAGCTTCTGTGATGGGTTTCTTCAGTCACTCTATTGAAATCTGGTTCTGATAAGTTGTTTTGCGAGACAAAACTGATTGTCTCTTTGTTGTGGACTTTTTCTTCCTCATCAATTGGGCTTTTCTGAATATAATCGACATTGTGCTCCTTTAGGAATAACATGAATTCTTTAAAATTCTCTTATGTTGGAAGATAATGCCCACTGTGAGGCCAGACTGCCTATTGAATTCAATAGTCGGATTAATATACAAAATAAAAGTGCCTTAAAAAGGATCCAAAGAAGCTATAAAAAGGAAAATAAATAAAAGGATGTGGCACAGTTTTGTACACTTAGAATTCCATCTTCGACTACTAATCTACCAGCACATAACATACCCCAACTGAATAGAAGTAGCAGGGATAAAAACACAAAATCCAAAATACACATACAGCCCACTCCAAAGTACACCCCCATGTTCTCAAGACCCTTCAAGAAAAGAGGAGCATGCACATCAGTAACTTCATACATTGAACTAATACACATACAGCCCACTCCAAAATACACCCCCATATATATGCATCTATTAATCTTTTTATTAATAAGTTTTATTATTTTTATTTACTAAAAGTCTTGTAAAATTGCTAAAATAATCAAAACACTTATTAAACTCTCCATTAGTACCTAGCTAATCAATTAATAATTAAGGACAATAAAAAAACAAATTAATTGACCTAAGTCACACACCTGTTATTTTATTGTCGCTAGCTGCGGAAAGCACCTCATTCTCTCTCATCCTGGTCTCAAATGGAAACTGGAATCTCCTCTTTCTTTCATTATATTTTCTTCTCTCTCAACAAAAAGTGAAATGATTAATGATTTTAATTTATTTTTTCATATTGTGGGGTCCAGCATAAGTGCATGAGTCTTTTTAAACTGTGACTTAGTTAAATGGGTGAGAATTCTATGAAAATTCATTAAAAACATTTATATAATTAATTAAAAGTCTATAAATATATATAAAAATAACATTCCTAATTTTTTTAGTTTAATTCACATTGTTGTTGATGATGTTTGCAAATGTAGATGGACAAGAGTTGGATCCAACTTCCTAGGATTGATCCGCACTATGCAAAAGGGATTAAAGATTTTATTGAGGTGGCTAAGGCCTATGTAGATGACAAGAATAGGACTAGGTGCCCATGTTCTAAATGCAAAAACATACTATATAGAACATTACCTGAGGTTAAAGGACACTTGTGTCAAAATGGGATGGACAAAATGTATACTCGCTGGGAATGGCATGGAGAGGGGTATGATATGGCTAATAATAATAGTTCAGAGGAAGAGGTTGAAGAAGAGGAAGATGGTGATGAGGTAAATGAGTTGTTGGAAGACATTTGCATGGGACCTTTTGTGCAAACAGAAATGACAGATGTTCAGCAAGGGTTGGATGATGCTTTGCCAAATTCTAACATGGGACATGATAGGTTTCAAGATTTATTACAGGATGCACAACGTGAGTTATATCCAGGATGTGAAAAATTTTCAAAATTATCGTTCGTTCTAAAGTTATACAAAATGAAAGTAACTCAGAAATTGAGCAACAAATATTTCACTATGATGCTAAAGTTGCTTAATGAAGCAATGCCCAAAGGTGTTGAGCTTCCAAAGTCACATTATGAGGCAAAGAACATGTTGCGTGAATTAGGTTTTGGGTATGAAGTGATACATGCTTGCATAAATGATTGTATTTTATTTTTGAAAGAATATGAAAATAATGAGTTCTGCCCTCGGTGTGGTGAGTCTAGATACAAATCTCATGAAGGCAAGGGTAAAAAAATACCACAAAAGATTCTTAGATACTTTCCTTTGAAGAGCAGGCTTCAGAGGTTGTTTATGTCAAGAAAAATATCTTCAGATATGAGGTGGCACAAAGAGAAACGTGTTAAGGAGACTAATATATTCAGACATCCCGCAGATTCTATGACTTGGGAGAAATTTGATATAAGACATCCTTGGTTTTCAGCGGAACCTCGTAATGTTAGACTTGGTCTAGCAAGTGACGGATTCAATCCATTTAGCAACATGAGTAATTCATATAGCATGTGGCCAGTAATGGTTTTTCCATATAACTTGCCACCTTGGAAATGCATGAAAGAACCATATTTGTTTATGTCATTACTTATTCCTGGACTGAGATCACCAGGGAAGGAAATTGATGTGTACTTGAGACCGTTGATCGATGAGTTAAAAGAGTTATGGGTGGATGGTGTAATGACTTATGATGCTTCTACTATGTGTACTTTTAGATTGCATGTGGCATTATTATGGACAATAAATGATTTTCCAGCATATGGAGATTTGTCTGGTTGGGTCACAAAGGGATACATGGCATGTCCTGTTTGTAACTTTGATGCATCTTCAATACGTTTGGAGCATGGGAAAAAGATTTGTTGGTTTTGCCATCGTCGTTGGCTGCCACTAGACCATAAATGGCGAAATTTATACAAACAGTTTGATGGTAACAAAGAAAGGAGGTCACCACCTAAAGAATTAACTGGTGATGAGTTGATTCAACAGTTGCTTCAAATTAGGTTCGCCGACTTGGGAAAAGGACCGACCAACAAAAAGAGGAAGCGTACCAAATCCGAGTTAAATTGGACTAAGAAAAGCTTATTTTTTGAATTGTCATATTGGCAAGGCCTCAAACTGAGACATAATCTGGATGTTATGCACATAGAAAAAAATATATGTGATTATATATTAGGGACATTAATGAACATTGAAGGAAAGACAAAAGACACAATGAAATCTCGTTTGGATTTGCAATTAATGGGTATAAGAAAAGAGTTGCATTTTACTCCTAGTGGCAATAAGTTTCTTATGCCCCTGGCATGTTATACATTATCTACTGATAAGAAAAAGAGCATATGTGAATGGTTGAAGGCAGTAAAGTTGCCAGATGGGTATGGTTCCAATATATCTCGGTGTATTCATAAAAATAATCGTACTATATCAGGTTTGAAAAGTCATGATTGTCACGTACTTCTCCAGCGTCTTCTTCCGGTTGCTATTCGTGGACACATGTCCGATAATGTATGTAATGCATTGGTTGAACTTGGATTATTTTTCAAAGAGTTGTGTTGTAAGACGTTGAAACTAGAAGTCTTAGAGGCACTTGAAAAGGATATTGTATCCATACTTTGCAAGCTTGAGATGATCTTCCTACCTTCATTTTTTGATGTGATGGTTCATCTAGCTGTTCATTTACCCCGTGAGGCCATTATTGCTGGACCAACACAATATCGATGGATGTACCCCATTGAAAGGTGTGTCTTATTTGTTCGTTAATTCATATCTCCATAATTTTTATTCTTATGTTAATTTCTTTTATAATTTTGTCAATATGAAAACATATTCAGATTTCTACGAACTTTGAAACAATATGTTCGCAACAAAGCATGACCTGAAGGTTCAATTGCCGAAGCTTATGTTGATAGTGAGTGTGTTGCATTTTATTCATTGTACCTTCGAGGGGTGGAGACACGTTTCAATCGAGAGGAAAGGAATTTTGACAAAGGGCAAACCCAGAAGTCAACAAGTTTTTCTATATTCACGCAGAATGTTCGCCCCTTAGGGTATGGAAATTATGAAATAATGGATTCTGCAAATCTCGAAAAGGCGCACTTTTATGTGCTTAACAATTGTCCAGAAGTGGAGCCATTCTTAGGGTAAGTGAATTGGAGATATTATGTTATTTAAATTCAATTATTATTATTTAAAACATTGACATTCTTATGTAGAAAGCACATGGAAGAACTAAAGAGACAAGATCCTAACAACGTAGTTGTGAGGCATTCAAAACAATTTACTAAATGGTTTGAAGAGCATGTAAGTTTTTCATAAAATTTATTGCATATTAATTGTATAATAATATTTTTTTATATCTATTCTCGTATATGTTATGTAAACTATTTCATTTGTGTATAGGTTAAAAGATTGCGACAAAGTATGTCGCCTGATGCTATTGATGATCTTTATTCTCTAGCTTGTGGGCTTGACTCGAGAGTGAAACGATATACAGGTTGTGTTGTGAATGGGACTAGGTTCCATACTAAAGAGAGGGAGAAGAACAGGAAAACACAAAATAATGGCGTGATGGTCAAAGGTGAAAATATTGATTTTTATGGTTGTTTGACAGACATCATTGAGGTGTCTTATGACACGGAAAGACGTGTAGTTCTATTCAGGTGTGATTGGTGCAATACAAGAAGTGGAATTCAAAAAGATAAATATTTCACTAGTGTCAATCTCTCCCGTCAAGCATATAAGGATGAGCCGTTCGTGTTAGCTCATCAAGCCAAACAGGTTTTATACCTCAAGGACAACAAATTAAGGGGTGCCTGGGAAGTTGTGCAGCAGATTGATCCTAGGAACTTATTCGATGTCCCAGAAAAAGATGATAAAACAAATGGGTCAAATGAAGGGGAAAGTAGTGAGGAGGTTGCATATCAAGATTTTGAGTCACTAGAAGTTAATGGTGTTGTTTGAGACATAGATTTTGACTCGGTGACATTAACTAATGATGATATGGTTTCAAATGAAATTGATTCCGATGCAGTTCATAATATCATAAATAATGCACATGGCAATGATGATGTAGAGAACGTTACCCTTGATTATGAAACTTTTGATGAAGAAGATGCATCCAATGATGATTCTTTGGATGAAGAAGATATTGTGTTTAGTGATGATGATACCGATATAGAATAGTTTGTTGTTTAAAAGTTAAAAATCTTACTTTATTAATATATTAAGAATTTTTATGTTAAGATGTGCTCATTTGTAGTTATGTGTTATTTTGAAATGCTTACATTCCAAATATGACTTGTTTTTTTAGCTTATAATCTGTTTGATTTCATTTTTAAATGGCATTAATAATATGTTTAGTTATATAGAATTGACATTTTCATAAATTTTTTTCATCAAAGTGTATTACTATTGCATTTAAAGGAAGTGATGTTCTTCAAGAGAGGTAGTTTAGTTCTACCATTTCTATATTGTTGTATTTTGTTCCAGTGTATACATGGCTCCTACTAATCGTAAGAGGGTAATGGCTAACACTACTGATATCAACAATGATGAGTTGCAGTCCATGCCGGATGATGGTCAATGTAAGTTAATAGAATAATTTATTATTGCAACTATAATATATTATTGTTTAGAGTATCACTAATACTGAAGTGGATTTATTTGCAGGTTCTGCCACTTCCGTTAAAAGGCGTGGACCCTCAACAAACAAGGCATTGGAGGATGTGTTGGATAAAAATAAGAGGCAGCCATTAGAAGTTACATTTAAAGAAGGACATTTGCAGCCTGTAGGTAAGAACGCAAAACTTTGGAAGGCTGAAATTGGAGTAGAAACAAGACGTTTTCCAGCTATTTACCCCCGATATGATAAGATACCACCTGAAAATAAGGATGTTGTGTATTATAGATTAAAGGTAATACTTTCATTCGTACAAAACTACTCTCATTCCAATCTCTTTTGCTAATTTCAATAGTTAGTAGTTAATTGACAATGTTTAATTTGATATGTTTTCCAGGTAGTAACTTACGTTTCGCTAAATATATGTTTTTCCTTTACAAATTACCAAAGTCTAACTAATAGATAATACTTTTTCTTATCTATTTGGATAACTAAATTTATTGTTCTATTTCTTTTAGAAAAAATTTAGACCTAATGTTGGTGAACACCATCATAGACGGGCATTTAATCATCAGTTCAGCAAGTGCTTGAAGGCCCGCAGATACAAAATAAAGAATTACTATGATGGCTTTAAAAACGCTGAGCTTGCTCGGCGTAACCCATTTAAAGGTGTTCCCAACGAGCATTGGAATTTATTGTGCGACAGATACAGTTCTGAGAAGTGTGTGGTAATGAAATAATATACTTACAACTTTGTAATTATGGATTGAGTTTGAATTACACACACAAATATGTTGATATACATGTTTTTTGATTAATTATCATGCAGAATCGCAGTGAGACAAACAAAAAGAATAGGGACAAGGTGAAGACTAAGAATTATGGTGGCTCGAAAGTGTATGTTCAGTACCTGGATGAGATGGTAATGACAAAAGGCTATTCAAATCACATTTTAGTACTTTTTGAAAACTTCTTTATGCATTAATTTTTCAATTAGTTATACTTGTATAGTTAAAATATTCAACGCCCTTATATTTTGGTATCTCCATTTAAAATAATATGTTTTATACGTTAACTAAACTGAAATGTGTGAAGTTATTCAAAACTGTTTTAGTTTCAACTTTAATGAGTTTTGTAGATGATTAATTTGATATAATAAGTTATATATGTATATGTTCTAAAATTCAACATATATATATATATATATATATATATATATATATATATATGTATGTATTTGTATATACTGTGTATATATATGTAATGTTTAGTATATGAAAATTATATGTATGTGGATACGAATATATTTGTAATTTAGTCTGAGTTCCCGCTAGCTTTTGTTCCTTATTCGGTTGATTGTTAAGCTTTTTATAGCCCAGTTTGTTCATTTTACTTGCTTATATATCACAGCTTAATAATGAAACTGGGGAAGATGGAAGTGTGATTGAATTCTATGCAAAATCACATATCAAGGAAAATGGGGAATCTATTGATGAAGAGGCTGAGAAGAATTATGTAAGAATGTCTTCATTGTTAATATTTTAGCTTTTATTTAAATTAAAGGATGGTGCACATTTAGGATGACAACTTCGCTTCTGAACATGCAGGCTAGAATGCTAGAAATGAAAAAAGTTGCAATTGAAATTGGAGAAGTAATAACCCACGAGAAAGAGGAAGAAATAATGCTTGAAGTGCTAGGGAATAAGTGTTCATTTTTAAATGGGCCTAATAAGGATATGCCAACTTTGTCAATCCGTGCTACTCAAAAAGATGTGGATGCAGCTAATGCTAGGGCCGACAAAGCAGAAACGAATATGGACGAGATGAGACAAGAGGTGCAAGGGATGAGGGAAGACATGCAGCAACAAATTCAAGAGAAAGTGAAAGAGGCAATGCTTGCTTTTATTGCAAATATTGGGCAGCCTTCCCTTGCACCCCAAAATTAATCTACTTTAGAGTTTTAGAAGGACAACTTTTTAAAATTAATTAGGTCTAATATTTTAGGACTTTGAATACTTTCTTGCAGTTTCTTGTTTTTTAATAGTAAACCTATTATTTTTGGGATGATGCATCAATATTCCTTATGCCCTCTTTCTCTCAAATTGTTTGAAAACTCTCTTGTTTCACATTGGATATGGTTTTTGGAAGGATAATTTATGGTAAGTTAGCTAACTTAGAATCAATTTAATTTTTATAATTTTTTTTTTTTTTTTTTTTTTTATCAATAGTTTTTACCAGGTATACAATTTATTTTGCAGGTAGTTCGTCTTGTTAAGAGAGTTGCTTCTTAATTTGTTGGAGTGTTCTATGGCAGTAAGTATTGCCTACCTTGTTTTTATTGGTACTAGGGGTTCACTTATAATGTAATCTATAGCATTTTCTTGTACGCAACATTATGGTAATTGAGTTGATATAATATTGTGAAAATACGTAAGCCATAATTGCTTCATTAATGAGGGGTTTTTATTTTTTATTTTTAAAATTATATTTCATGTTTAAAGTTCTCTTTAAGGGTGTACTGATATTTACACCTTCAATTGTTTCTTAGGAAAAAATTTGCTTTATTCTTTGGACTAGGAATTAATGCTGAAGTTGGTAAGTTTTAAATTTGTTGATTTTGATGAGATGTGATAATTTTTTATAAATGCATACAGCAGTCTTGGAGAATATGATATTACGTATTGTAGTATTTGTTTTTTTGTATAAAAGTTGAGTAATATACCAACAAAGCTGAAGACATATTACTTTTATTATCGTGTATAAAGAAAATTAAATTTGAGTACGTTTCTCTTCTAGTTAGTTTATGCAATGCTACATTCTCGATCTATTCGTCCATTAAATTGCATATAATTAGAAAAAAAAAAAGTTTATATAATCTTACAAATTGTACACAATATTGTAATGACCTTTATCTTTTTGAATTGTAGAGCGATTAATTGGGATGACATGAAGAAAATGAAGTATTCATGACAACGACGAACTAAAGTGATGAGATTCCATACGAAGAACTTTGAGGTGCTGCCATAGAGGGAGAGTTAGGAGTTTGCTTTTATGTTTTAGTTTGGTCTTTAATTTGTATTAGACAATTGGAAATTTAGTTTATATTTTGACTCAGAATTGAACAAATGTAGAAATTTATTCAAATTGATGTTAATTTTGTATTTGAACTCAGAATTATTATGTATTGCATAATAAAATTTAATGTTATGTTTAAATTTGTATTGCTATATAGAGTTTGAAATTTGTGGACCTGTGCTACTATTTGGACTTTTTTATAATATTAGCAAAAACGATAAGAAGTTTAGAAATTAAAGCATGCAAAAAATGGTTTTTAGCAATGAAAGACCATTGTCATTGGGTAAGTTAGTGACGAAAACTTTCGTTGATAATGCCCAATAAAATGTGACAAACATTTTAGTCACTAAAAAGCAAACAGATGTAACGAAAAGTATGTCACTAAAAGTCATGCAATAGTGATGAAAATGTGACAAACGTTTTAGTCACTAAAAGGCAAATAGATGTGACGAAAAATATGGTTGCTAAACGTCATGCAATAATGACGAAAATGTCCGTCACTAGTAGGCAAGCAAATGTGACGAAAAGTATGGTCACTAAAAGTCATGCAATAGTGACGCAAATTTTTTTGTCACTAAAAGCAAAGTCAATAGTGACGTAATTTGCATTCGTCACTATAGATTAACCGAGACGATTATATAGCAACGAAATATTGACAAATGATTTTTCGTCACTAAAAACTTTTAGCAACGAAAATTTAGTTTTTTGTGACGAAAAAAAACATTGCTAAAGCTCCATTTTGTTGTAGTGAGGACATAGTATCCAATACTAGCTTCAGTCTAGGTTGTTTATTTATTATTATTAATTTATTACATTGTTTTGCATGTTTAATTAAATATAGAGTTGTATTTTTAATTATTTATTTCGTAGCATATTTTAATTATCTCATAGCATTTTTGTATAAGATTTGTTATATCATAAATGTCATATGAAGCATATATTTTATCTAACAATCTTGAGACAAATTATTTTCTGCTTTGTTTTACTATATGTTTTTATTTAAGATATAAACAAGTAGAGATTATACTAATAATTGAGATATAAGAAAATAATGTTATAAGTATTATTACATGATAATATACTAAATATTGATGTGTTCAATATTATGTGAAATTGAAGCATGTGATATAAATAGATTATTGATTTATTTATATAATTCAATATTGGTTGGATTATTTTAATTTTTTTAATATGATATTCTGTAATATATTATATTATCTTAAGCATGTGCCAGCTAGAGGTGAAAAAAGGTATTTCGTTACTTTTATCAATGATTGTACAAGATACTGTTATGTATATATACTATGAAACAAAGATAAAGCCATAGAAATGTTTAAACATTACAAAAATGAGGTTGAGAACCAACTAGGCAAAAAGATTAACACTACAAGAAATTAGGGTTTTAGGGACAGTCGAAACTGTCCCTAAAAGCTCGAAAATGTCCCTAAAAGTCAAATTGGTCCGTGACTAAAAGTAGCGTGACAAAAGAGCTTTAGGGACAGTCAAGTTTGACCGTGACAAATACTTTGACTTTTAGGGACGGTTTGGACTGTCCCTAATAATACCGTCCCTGAAACTTATTAGGGACGGTATAGACTGTCTCTAATAAGATATGAATTAGGGACAGTTTCAGGGACTGTCCCCATTACATATAATATTAGGGACGGACGGACCGTCCCTAATACATTATTTTTAATTATAATTATTGTATTAGGGACGGATGGACTGTCCCTAATACATGTTTTTTAATTATAATTATTGTATTAGAGACGGGTAGACCGTCCCTAATACTTTTTCTTTTTTTTTTTTTTTTTTTTTTTTTTTTTTCTTTTGTATACTTGATTTGTGGGTTTAACCATTCTGAATACATGCATGCAAAACGTAAATAAAATAGATCCATAATAACATTCAAAAAGATATTGTTAGCCATCAAACAAAATAAATCCACAATACATATTCAAGATCCATAAAATTTCTAATTTTCTAAACAAAAACAAAAACTGCTAACCAGTTTTCTAAACAAAAACTAAAACCATCTGGTAGCACAAAAAATTGTTCCATCCCCTTCAAGATCCATTATTCATTCCGTTGGTGGTTGATGTGGTGCTTGTTGGTGCCACCATGTTGGTGGCGGCTGCTGATATTGCCACCTTGTGGGTGGCAGCTGCTGAAAATGAGAGTCTGTTGGAGGTGGCGAAGGCTGTTGATGCCAGTTTGGTGCGGTTTGCTGCAGCTGCTGCTGATATTGGAGGAGCCATGGTGGTGGCTGTTACTGCAACTGCTCAAGCATCTTCTCAAGTTTATCCATCTTTTCCGCCATTTGTACATTTCTTTCCTCAGCAATTTCGGCCCTTTTCCTAGAAGCCTCGTCACATGATGAGGAGGCACGTTGACGCTTTGGAGCCATGAAACCATGTCCGAATCCACGACAATATCCCTTCCTTATGCCTAGTTGGTTTTGCACTATCTCAACATCATTTATGGTTGGACTCGTACCATCAGAATTTTGAGAATTTTGTGCAGCCTTTTCTTTCATTGCATCCTGCAAAATATTTAAGTTTGCTATCAAATTGAAAGAATATGACATAGGAATAAATCATGTGCAAGGTAGAATATTAATCTCAATAGAGAGAAAAAAAATGCTTATACACATAATGGAAGGATGAGTACATTGCAATGACAAACTATATTGTCAACTACAAATGAAAGGAAGAAGTTCTCATGTCATTTTTTTCTTTATCTAAACTGGTGTGGAGAAATTAAAAGTCCTAATTATGAATTTAGAGAACAAATTATAATTTCTGTTTTGTCAAAGTCAACTCTTATGGAAACAAGATTCTTAATAGCATAATCTCAAGAGCAGCATGAATCTTCTTGTTTGATTTAGAGCATGTTTACCCTATCACTATCAGTTGTATGACTTCAAGAGTGTGCAATCACTGTGACTCTCACATAAGCACCACAGATTAGCATCACTATGACCCTTGATTGGTTTAAATTCTGAATACTTAGCTTTAATCCATCTACTTAGATTGCATATGAAAGTTATTTTCAATATATATATATGTGTGTGTGTGTGTGTGTGTGCACGTGCGCGCGCACGCGCGCAAGTTCAGTGCTATAACATGATTGATTCATAACTCTAAAAAGGATCATTACGTTAATTTAATTGTGTAGACAGGTGACTTAAAAAAATACCTCCCTGCTACAACATATGCATTTATCAAGTCCACATTTCCGTAGTCAAAAATATAAATTCACAAGGACTTAATAACGTTACAAATGCCGATGCACATACACATCTTCTTTCTTACTGGACTATATTTCATATTTCAAATTTCATATTATTTGGTCATCATTTTCTTAAGTTATATCTAGACCACTTTAGAAGGAAAACTTCACTGACTAATTTATTATTTTTTTCATTTTATGGTAGGTAAGTTAAACAAAGATATCAATTTATATTTACAGAAGTAGATAATTATCACATAAAATAATTTAGGCTCATTTGAATATGGATAAAATGCTCAATTTAAAGGGTTACATAACTAGGGGGTTATGCCTTTATGAACCACATCCCGGCCTGGGTCATATGCATTGATATCACTCCGTACATTAATCAATGCGAACCATAGGAATAAAAGGTTGTTAGAACATGTAAGCCAGTGTTATTAACAGCCAAATAAGGGAAGAAAAAATATATATTCTAGGAACTAATGAAATTTCCACGTGTTAATAGCCTTATATAATAACATAAATTCATTTTCAGCCACGTTTACGAGATATTTTCGAAGATTTAATAATGTACTAAAAAATGTGTGTGTGACTGTGTGTTTTGGGTTGATTGAATATGCTTGAATATCTATACGAACACACATGAATAAATACTACAAAATATGACCTAAATATCAACATAATGAAGAACAAGAATTTACTAGTAAAAAACAAGTACAATTTTCAAGCATCATGAAATGATAGAGACTATGAAACATACTAGATAATATATACACGAAGAGACTTGGAATTTTAGGTTTTGATACTTCACTCTCATCTTATTTTGAAAAGAAAAATGGTTATTGGACGAAATATTTCAGATCATTTCAATATATTTCAACTGTTTCAGTATAATGGATGAGTTTCTCCTTAACTGTTTCCGTAGTCAACCAAATTGATTTAAGAAAACTAAGGTTATTTCACTTGCTAAGTTAATTATATTGCTTCAATGGATTTGTATTTAAAATTTCTAATAATATTTTTTTCCTTGAAAGATTCATTTAGATGTAAATTTCAGCAACATACCTACACAATTTTTAACTTCCGGAAGCAATAATAACTTGTCTTTAAGGCAAGTAATCACAACAAAATTACCATTTCCTGTTAAACACAACTACTGACCATGTGGGTGTGACCTTAAGAAAGTCCTTCAAGCACAGTTGTAATCTAGAAATAAAGGGCTCTCTTTTATGATCTCCCCATCACATTAACACAACTTTTAACTTCTCTCAATGTGAACCCTCTTTGTCACATGGCCCCAACATTTCAACAAATTATTTCCATTATACTTTTTTTTATTTTTTAAACATGAAATACATGAATGAAAACCACACTTCATCCGCAACAATTCCCCACCTCCATTTGTGCACAGAAAATCAAGAATGGTCACTTAAAGGCATGTGACCCCCTATAAACCGCAAAAATGGTCACTTAAAGGCATGTGACCTCCTATTAACCGCAAAAATATTATGAGATTCAAATTTCATAATCCAACATACTAGCTTATAATTAACTTACAAAATTCCTCTTAGCTTTCTCGTGTGCCCATCCACCTTGTTCCTTAAAATGTGTGTCCTTGTACAAGCGAATGGCAGGATCCTCATCCCTTTCACCATCTTCATCTTCATCTTCTTGGCTCTGCCTTTCTTTGAGTTTGACCTACAATACAAAGTAGTAGTGACCATTAGACAAATATATGGTTTAGAACGTAGAATATAAAATAAAAAATTTATAATTATTGTTTCATATATTACGTACATACGCATCGTAACGTCTAACGAAGGACATCGATCCAGAATAATGTGGAACCTTAATCTTGGAACGATTTTCTTTGTTTTTTTCACTTATTTCCTAGGTAGCAATTCAAACAATATTACAAGTTAGGAAACCCAAATAGCTAGTGAATGAAGTTATTATATTAAATAATAAAAAACAAGTAGTTAAGAAATTGAACCTAAAATTTTGGTGATATCCAATTATCACACAATTTTTGCCAAACAGCATTACCAATACCATTGTAAGGATGGCGGCGTGCATTCTCAATAGGAAGATGCTCCTCAAAATGACACTTCAATTTATATCTATATTTCCTCAACGCGCTGGAAATTCCCTTATTTACTCGCTTAAAATTAATGTCATTCGCATATGCATCAACTCCAAAGACCTTATTTATAATGTAAAATTAATGTAAGCTACAATTTGTAACCAATTAAGCCAGCAACCTCTGATTTATTTTTAACAAAACAAACATTAAATGATGGTTATCATTACCTTCAAATGCTCATAGTAGACCTCTTTCTCAAAATCTGGAACATCCCTCCACGTTTTATACTTTAAAAGGGCTTCAGTATCTCGTATATTAATGCCAACCTCAGCTGTCCATAATTTGTTATTTAAACCAACAGGTTTAATATAACCCTCTCCAAACTCTACTAGAACCGGACAGTTGTTTTCTTTAATTTTGTGCAAGGCTTCATTTTTTGCTCTTCCATGCCCTTTTCATATCGGACCTGAAAAACAAATTCATCATCTTAATTAAAATGTAGGCATTTTACAAAAGAGCTTATGGTTAATTAATAATGAAGCATAATTACCTCCTCTTGGTTGTGGCCCCATCTGCTCTTTACTACCATCACCTTCTATTCTTTGATTTGTTGTATTCCTGTCATCACTTGATCCACTCAATTGTATAGGAGGTGAACTTGTAGATGGTCGCTCAGTTTCAGCCCTGCGGGACCTTAAAAGTCTATGCATTGGTTCCTCGGAGGTGTCCATAATTTAGTTTACAAGCTGATATGAAGAATCAAGTGAAATTAAATCAAAATAAACAAGTATATACAGAATATATTTAGAGTCATCATTTCATATTTACATAATTGCATTGAATAAAAAATTCAATAATTAGAGACTAATAAACCTGAAGGAAGTCAATAAATAAAGACTAGTAATATAACTGAATAGATCACATTAAATATTATCATAAAACCAAAAAAATAAGTAAATGCTCAAATATAACAATTAATTTGGTCAACCAAATCAAAGATGCAAATTAATGAAGCACAGAATCAATACTTAAAGAGAAATTTAAACAAAAAGTAATTCAAAAGATAAAGCTCGGTAATATAATTCATAAAACCATAAAATGAGATACATGCTCAAGAATACAAAGCTTCACATGTCATCCAAATCAGTATCATCTTCAGACATTAATTCTGGTTCCTCATCTGAACTATATTGAATGTCATTTCCATCATCATTCTCAACATCCCAAAAGTCGTCATTAATGGCTGCTTCACTCCTACATTTTTGAATCATTTCAGCATCAACAGTTTCACCATCCAAATCGTCCCTGTTCAAAGGGAGTGGATCCATGTCCAAGTCCGCTTCTACAACTCCATCCATGATGCTTGGTTCGTTCTCTTGGTACGCTGCAATGTTGAGCATTTCATCATGTACTCCTGTTTCACCCTCTTTTTTAGGTACATCAAATGATCTTCTACTTGTTATATCTTGAACTACCTCCCACGTCCCTTGTAATTTCTTATCTTTGACATAGAAGCATTGTGATGCTTGATTTGCTAACACAAACGGCTTATTTTTGTACGCTCTACTGGCTACATTTACATTTGTGAAATAGGTATCTTTATGTACACCGGTACCAATCCTAACATCAAACCAATCACATTTGAAAAGAAAAATTTTTCTACCCAGAGGATATCTTAACTCAATGATATCTGTTAGGACACCATAGTAATCTTGGTCTTCTCCTTTCACTAACACGCCACTATTCTGTGTTCGTCGATTTTGCTCCCTTTCCTTAGTATGGAACCTAATCCCATTTACAATACACGCAGAATATCGACTTACTAGACTTTGAGGTCCACACGCTAATGAATACAGATCATCACAAGTTGTTTCCTTTTGATGATGACGCATTTCCTTTATCTATTAAAAAAAGTGTAGTGTTAAATAAATGAATGACAGTTCATTTTAATTAAATTAAAGAATTTTATTTAATTAAGTACAATAGGTGCATAATGAACTTACTTTTGTTTCGAACCAGCTCGAATATTCTTTAACATGTCTTTGAGGAACATTGTGCGGATTTTCTCTCTCAAGTTCTACCTTGTGTTTTCTAAACAATTACATGATGTTAAAGATACAATTGTTTACATGTATTAAGAAATAGACTATATATTCATAGAAACTGACAAGATATGACATACAATGAGCTACTTACTCTTCATATGACAAAACATCTTCACAATTCTGTAACACGTACAATCGGGCCATCTCTATGTCCGCACGGGGCAATATGTCCAAACTTTGTGTCCCTATCGGTCGAACCACTTGCTTTAGATCATAAAAAGTGGACCAATTATTGTTGTAGTTTCCCTCACTATTTCTTTCTTCTCTATTGAACCTTGTCTCAATCCCTCCAAGAAATTTTGAACAAAATGTGAGGCATTCATCGTCCACGTAAGCTTCTGCAATGGACCCTTCCGGACGTGCTTTGTTACGGACGTACAATTTGAGAGTATGCAAAAATCTACATACCCGTTAATCAAACCAATAATATTTGATAACAAATTGATAAAACTTGTCACAAAAAAAAAAAAAATAAAAGAAAAAATAAAAAAATAAAAAAAGGAGGAATTTTGGTTTACTAAAAATATACAGCACCTTTCAATCAGGTACATCCATCGATATTGTGCAGGGCTTGCGATGATGGCTTCACACGGCAAATGCAGAGCCAAGTGCACCATAATGTTAAAAAATGATGGAGGAAATATCATCTATAACTTGCTTAGTATAACAGCAATGTCCCTTTCCATTGCCTCTAAGACATCCACTTTAACTCGACAACACAATTCTTTGAAGAATAAACCAAGCTCAGCTATTGTGTTACAAATATCTGAATTTAAGAATCCTCGTATAGCAATAGGGAGGAGATGTTGTAAGAGAACGTGTGAATCATGACTTTTCAATCCAGATATCTTACAATTATTAACATTCACACACCGACTTATGTTCGATGCATAGCTATCTGGAAACTTAACTGATCTTAGCCATTCACATAGTTGCCTTTTATCATTCTTTGAGAATGTGTAATGCGCTTGTGGCATCTCAAATTTTTCACCATTACGCCTCAGGTGGAGTTCTTTTCTAATCCCCATTGCTTCTAAATCCAACCGACTTTTGAACGTGTCCTTAGTTTTCCCTTCAATGTCCAATAATGTCCCCAACACACTATCGCATATATTTTTCTCTATATACATAACATCCAGGTTGTGCCGCAACAAAAGGGTCTGCCAATAAGGTAGTTCAAAAAAAATACTCTTCTTCATCCAGTTAAGTTCAAATTCCTCACGAGTTCGCTTCTTTTTATTTGGTCCCTTTCCGAAACTAACCTCGGGTATGAGGTTAAGCTGTTCCAGAATATCATCACCCGTCAACTGCTTTGGTGGCCCTTTGTCTTCACTTTTGCCATTAAATTGCTTGTGATGTTTTTTAAAAATGTGATCTAACGATAAAAACATACAACTTCCCAAGTAACATATCTTACGCCCGTGTTCCAAATAACAAGAACATGTTTCTTTGTTACAATTTGGACATGCTAGATAACCCTTTGTCATCCATTCAGATACCATCGCATAAGCGGGAAAATCACTAATGGTCCAAATCATTGCCGCATGCATTTTAAAGTTACATTTACTGTAGGCGTCATACGTCATCACACCATCCCGCCATAATTCTTTTAACTCTTCAACCAAAGGTTGCATGTACACATAAATATCATTACCAGGCGATGTTGGACCAGGAATAAGCAACGACATAAATATATATGGCTCCTTCATACATATCCAAGGTAGCAAATTGTAAGGCACAATCATCACAGGCCACATACTATACGTATTGCTCATGTTACCAAATGGATTGAATCCATCAGTTGCTAATCCAACACGAACATTACGAGGATCAGCAGCAAACCAACTATGCTTACTATCAAAATCCTCCCAAGCTTTTGAGTCAGCTGGATGTCTTAACTCATTTGTCTCCTTCACACGTTTCTCCTTATGCCACCGCATGTCTAAGGCTGTATCCTTTGACATAAACAACCGTTGAAGTCTTGATTTCAAAGGGAAGTGCCGAAGAACCTTTTGAGGGATTTTCTTACCCTTACCTTCGTGAGGTTTATACCTCGATTCACCACACTGTGGACAATTTTCTTTACCTACATTCTCCTTCCAAAATAGAACACAATCATGTTTACATGCATGTATACAATCATATCCGAGACACAAGTCTCGTAACAAGCTTTCAGTCTCGTAATGAGACTTTGGTAACACATTGTCGTCGGGGAGCATATCCTTAAATGCATCAAGCATCATGTCAAATGATTTGTTGCTCATTCGGCTTGTAACCTTCACATGGAACAACTTTAATATCGCTGACAACTTAGAGTATTTTTTACAACCTGGCCATAATTCACATTGTGCATCATTTAACAATCTATCAAAGCTTCCTCCTCCAACATCAACTTCAGGGGAATCTTCTTGTTGTTGTGCATTAGTGAAGTTTCCCATTTGTATGTTATCCAACAATTCAAACACATTATCTACATTTCCATCTTCATCGTGGACATTTTCCCCACTAACATTAGCATCAATATTAACATTATTGTTGTTTTGACGATCCTCCCCATGATATATCCAATTGGTATACCCCTTGTCCATCCCATAACTCAAGAGATGCTGCTTAACTTCTTCAATTTGTCGATAAGTCTTATTTTTGCAATGACGACATGGACATCAGGACCTACCGTCTACTTCTGCATAACGCCTAGCCACATCAATGAAGTCGTGTATGCCATCAAAATACTTTACACTACCCCTAGTGTGATGATGAATCCAAGACTTATCCATGTAACTGCCTAAACATACACAAAAAAAATTAATATATATCAATTATAAACAAAAAACGAAATATATATAATTGAACCTTATAATATATATATATATATATATATATAATTTTTCCCTAATAATTGTCAACAATTGAGATTCAGAAGCACTGACAACCTTTAATCTTACAGAAATTCTACAAACATAATTACAAGAGAAATACATTTCTTATTATTTTTTTTTAAAAAAAATGATCGGCATCTTACTATATAATGTCACCTTCATTAATGAAAGATGGAAAAGTAAAGGGGTTCACACTAGAAAACAACTTACTATATATATATTGTTTATGATTTCTACCCACTAGAAAACAACTACTTCACCCACAAAATGGAAGATCTAAAAAAGAAAAAGAAAAAAAATACAGGTCCTGAACAATTCTGAAAGCTGCCATTATTTCAGCTCATTCTGCACTCATGGAATTTAAAAGTTCATGTCTTAAGCTGGGCCCGTTAATGGCGTAAAACAGGTACCATCTGTTCCCCAGCTATGCTTTACACTGCTTATTTGAATTGCAGAGATGCTAGACTCGTTCTCCATCCAAATATCGTGTGCGTGTGTATGTGTGTATAAAAGCAACAAACACTTGAAGTTCACAAACTATATTTGCAGCTACCAAATGCTTCTATTTGTGTGATTCTATAATAATGAGAACGGAGAGTTAAAATATGTGTGTGTGTGTGTGTGTGTTTTTTTTTTTTTTCAAATCCTAGTACCCATTTGAGAGATGGCATGAATAACAACAGATATGTTTAGCTGATGATGGTGTGTTGGATTGACTGGTTTTTAATTTGGTGTGTTTTCGGTAATACAAAAACAAGAATAAATTATGGACTTCATGAGCACTCTAATATCTGTTTTTAATCAAACCTTGAAGTATATTGTCATCTTTAATTTTAAATTATATTATTGCACCTTTTTTTATGGAGTAAAAAAAAGAATTTGGGAATTGATTTATTTAGTTGTTACAATGTTTCATGTGGCATTGAAAAGATAATCAATCTAGGGAATTAACTCATAATCATTTTTTTTGATACCAACAAGAGAAAGGAAAATAAAGGAGCAATGGGGAGGTTTTTTAATTTGTTGGGTGTTTGTGATTAGAAAGGACCTTGGATTGTCTCCTAGCACTTAGATTGTGTTTGAAAGGTAATGTTGGGCCTTACTGGACAACAAAGTGATCAATTTTTATGTATTAACCTCCATCAAGGTTGTTTGTTTACCAAGAACACAATGGGAAAATACAAGATGGGCCCTAATGGCCTGTTTTTTTTTTTTTTTTTAGAAGCCCAAATGGCCTATTCTTGTCTCACTCGAAACAAAAATTGATAAGTTTGGTCTGAAAGATTATTTTTCTGATTCAGTTTTGAAATTGTTGAAAGTTTATTAATTTCTAATTTTACCCATTCTTATGGATGCTAACTTTTAGAATTGATTAACAAGGTACCATGTAATGTATACTCAACATATAAGACAGTGTGTGGGTTCTAGTTTTTAGGCAATTGGCCAACTAAAACTGATTTTAAAGTCAAGAATTCGGAAACTGCTTTCAATTAGTGACTTTTATTAAAGCAATATCTCAAGCCTCATCTGAAGGAATTTTTATTACAACCATTTCATGAGTAATTATAATCATGCTTTTATACACACATACACACACACATATATAGACCTTCTTACTATAACATGAAACAACAAATAGATCCATTTTTGCTACAATGCATTGAAGACAAATGAATTCTGAAAGTTTGCACAAAATTTTGACTACCTTTTTTTTCTGAGTGGAAGTTTATGTTCAAAATAAAGCTGTATTTTATTTTATTTTGTATCTGCGATTTTGACATATTATAAAATTGAAAATTGTCAATTCAAAAGTTTATGAATTAATTATACCCAAAACAGATATATTGTACTAGCAAAGATTTTTAATAGATGTTTGGTTGAAGGCTTGGATGTATGAAAGAAAAAGTTGTGGGCTGATAGACGTTTACAGAACCAATTAAACAACAAAGTAATAGGCTCATCTTAATTGACTTCTACTATACTAATACAATACAATGACCTAACCACTCAAAACTTGATCAAATGTTTGGGATACTAAATAAATCAAAGCTCCAAACAAAATGATAATAATATAGGTATCTTAACAACATAATAACTTGTTCATGTATTATTCTAAACTCATTAACAGTCAGTGAATGCATTAATGATTTATCAATTCAAATTTCTCTCTACTACTGAAATTAACATTTCAAAGATGTTGACAATCCTATCACTATATTTAGAAAAAGGCCTATATATCTGCAAAAGTTTCATCTACTACTACAAAATTAGACTTCCAACACTAGCAAAAAAAAAGGCAAGACAGAGAAGAGAGGATTTAAAGTAAGTGTTACAGATATCCATGCTTGCTTGGCATTCATTTTGAGTGGCCAAGAGCAGCAGAAATTTGAAGGTTTAGCTTATATATGGGTGTCGACATCTCCGGTCAAGAACAACAAACCAACCCACAATAGTTGAAAACTGATTTTGAAGTCTGGGATGCTATTCAGATTTCATATGTTAATCTAATATATATATATAAATAAATAATAAACATACGTTAAAACAAAAAATAAATGTCTAGAATTATTTACCATGAATTTAAACCCTAATTTATTTTTCTACCCTGAACAATCCAAGCTAGAAAACCAATCAAGCAAACAAGCAAGCATATACCAAATTATACAAGAGAGTTAATAACCCAGTAGGGCCAGTGCATCCTCCAGCTAAAGAAGAAGAAAATTAAACAAATAAAAGGCTTTAAGAAAACATTGCATATGGAGCTTTATACATCCACTAAAAATTTTCAGAATCAATCATAACTTCTGACCAAGTATAGAGAGATTCATATTAGAAAAAAAATGAAATGTTAAAATGTCATGTTTGCAAACTTTAATTCATACATTTACTAACATTAGCCATAAGCAACAGAGAATCGCTTCTATAAATGTGACTTTTTTCCTAAATTAAACACAATACAACAAACAAAATAGAAATAGAACCTAGAATTCAAATTCTATCAAAGTGATTTCACAATGTAACAAGCACATAATGAGTTTTTTAACAAGCACATAACAAGTCAAACTCGTTATATATCAAACCTGTATTTTCCACAGCGATTCAGACCGCAAGCCGACTCCAGATTTGTAATTTACCCCTTCGATTGTTAGGCCTTTTGCAATTTTGAAACCCTACAACATGTATTTGCATAAAACAAACTATGGTGAGGATCATTAAACTGAAGTGGGTTATATGAATGTCAAATTGAAGATGAGGGTTCTCTGAAAATCGAAGAAAGAGGCAAAATCCCTAACATTGTAAAAAAAATAAAAATGTTGTACCTTATGATTAAGAGTGGCTGTTGGAACGATTGGGTCATTCGGCCTTTGCTGCTAGAAGAAGGTGAAAGATTCTATGTCTTCTGCGACGGTGGAAAAGGGTGGCAGAGCTAGCCTCTGTTTTCTGCAAGGAAGAAGAGGCGTGAGGGCTTAGAGGTGGGTTGAGAAATGAAGTGGTCTGAAGATAGACTTTAGGTATATGGGATGTAATGATATATTAAACGGTGTAGTTTAATGTATTTTGTAAAATAAAATAATTAAATATATTATAATTTTAATCGCGCCAAACAAGGAATGAAGCGCCAAGTTTTGCCGCACAATTTTTTGTGGAATTGGGGACAAACTTTTTTAAGTTTTAGGGACAGGGTGTAAAGACCGTGCCAAAAAAGAAGGCTTTAAGGACAGACTGTGCTAAAAAAGAAGGCTTTAGGGACAGTTTCTTTAGACTGTGCCTAAAAAGAAGGTTTTAGGGACAGTTTTTAAGACTGTCCCTAAAGGACTGTCACTAAAACCCAAATTTCTTGTAGTGTAAGCTGTTAAGAAGTGATAGATATGATGAATACGAAGCACCATTTACTAATATTTGTGATAAGCGAAGAATATTACATATTCGAGTCCTTAAACGTGTATATGTTAATGCCTTAGCGATGCCTTTATCTCGGTTCTTATGTTTTTTTTATTAATTTGTTATTTTTTGGTCTTCACTCAAAGAGACCGGCAATTCCATGTATTTAGAGCTTATGGCGATGTTCTCAAGGCTTAAAAACATGTTCAGGGCTTTCCAGGTCAATTCGGGACTTAACTGAGAAGATTTAATGAAGTTTCAGCTTTTAGTGCTCAAGCACTGATGAAGAAAATCCAAGAAAAAATACTAAGTATGAAGAAAAAGACGCTTCAAAAATTTTCAGATCAATATTTGACTGAGTATGGAAGTAGTGCACGAGCACTGAATGTAATGACCCGATCATTTTCCTTCTTTTCCTTTTTTCTCAAATTTTACTGATAATATTTTTCCGTTGTCTTTTCTTTTCTGAGTTCGGTTTCTAATCACTTTGTGTCGTCTCCAGTGCTCGAAAATGATTTTTGAGACTCTTTCCTTTGGATTGACAACTTCCTTTAAGATCGAGTCATTTCCACATTTCAATTTTTTAGACAGTATTCACTTTTCATCTTTTTCCCATTTGTCACTTTGTTGGCAAAACCTCACTTTTTGTGTCCGGATTTGTGTCCACTTTTGCATGCACTCATAGTATATGATTTATTAGAAATGTGCATTTTTACTTTCTTAGAAATGCATGTTATTAGTATACTTTCTTCCTTAGGGGTATGGGTGCATACTTCTTGGCAATTTTTCTTTCTTTTGGGGGAGTTTGTGTAATTACTATAAGTAATTATTTTTCGTCTAAGGGACCATTTTATAATTTTATTTGAAAGATATTTTCAAAAATAACCTTCTGCAATTTACGGAAAGCGTGACATTTGTGTGGAGACACTTTGATGCCTTGGATGATGACATGTGGAGGGTGGAGATTCACCCACTTGTTGACCAAAGATAGGTGCACTTGTTGGCTTGGATGGTTGACAAGTGTAAGCTTAGGATTAAGCCTACAATGGATGCTTGGATGAGTGACAAGTGTAGGCTCCAAATTTGGTCTTGCATTAATGTGTGTGTGTGAGGTAGTGTAAGAGCACATAGTGAGTGGATGATTTAACCAAAATTAGCGTAGGGTTTTCATTTTAATTTCATTTCATCTCTTTCCTCTCAAACCCTAACCTAGCTACCATTGAAGCAAAGCTTGGCTTAGAGCTTTAAGCTTCATTTTGGTCCCCTTCCACTCACCTTTAACCATAAAGCTTGGAATACAAAAGCTTTGCCTCACCTTCCTCTTCATAACCTTAGAAGGGCTTACCTTTTTGAGCTTGCTTGCCTTGGATTCTAGAGAGACACTTCTTTATTGAGGTAAGGGGTTGTTCTAAGTTTATTATCTAAGGGATTTACTTGCTTTTGTAGTGAAATATAAGTTGTATGCAAGTCTTATATTGATTTGAGAAATTAATAAGTAATTGTAGCTTGTATATAACTCACTTTAGACTTGGTATATGGTATGGCCATGACTTGATCCTTATTATATATTAATTTGGGATGATTTAAATGAGTTTTCAATTCTAGAGATTTAATTAATTTAATTTGATTTAAATCTTGCTTAATTATACTTTGCTTGTATTTCATTTTAGACTTGATATATGGCACGACTATGACTTAATCTTTGTTATATATTAATTTAGGATCATTTGAATAATTTTTGAAATATAGAGATTTAATTAATTTAAATTAATTAAATTCTACATGATGATATCTTGCTCATTTTACACTTTTGATTTGATATATGTAATGACCATGCTATGTTGTTTAACATATATTAATTAGGGATTATTTGGTTGAGATTTGAAATCTAGAGAAATTAATTAGTTTATTTAATTAATTTTCGTTTCTATTTTGTTAATGATTTAATCATGTATTTGACGTTGGTGGTATGTTTAAATCAAGATTTTGGACTTGTATTAGATTCATGAGTTTATGTTTTCAATATTGAGTGATATTGTTGCAGCGTGTAACGAATCACACTCTGAAGATTCTACATTTGTCATTCTATAGTAGTTGTGGACTTAGAGTATGTATTGTATGTGTTTCCAAATTCAGTTGTGCATGGTAGATAGTAAATTATCTTGTATATACATGTTGATATATACGTTGTTGCACAATTTATTAGATAGTAAATTATCTTGTATATACATGTTGACTACGGTTAGGGCATGGTTATAGCACGGGAGAGTATCCCCCTATAGTCTAGTGTGCACATGGGGAGGTTACCCGTGGGCTTGTAACCCTAAAGTAACCACGTTGTCGGTCTGATCTGGCGTGATGTCCGAGTATCCATCTTGTTTGATTTCACACTTTATTTCAAGTTGATAATTAGATGATTTTGTAACTTGTTGTTCCTTATTTGATTTCCCATTTTAAGTTTCAAGATGTTAACTTTGATGAATCATGCTTTATGCGTTGTATTGGAAGTTCCAATGTTGGTTAAATTGTATCGATATTGTGATTTGTGTTTTATTGTTTTAATGTAGCCTAGGATGATTTCTTAGACTTATTTGGAACATAGACGTTAGATGGCATGAACTATTTTAGTTGATTTCGCATTTCTGATTTTAAGTTGATAACTTCGATAATCTATATCTTGTTGCGTTGTATAGTATGCTTTTATATTGTTTAATTGTATAAATATTGTAGTTTATGTTAGAAATGCTTTAATGTAGCTTAGGATGATTCCTGAGTCCCACTTATGACATAGACGTTAGGTAGCATAATTCTTTTGAATTGCTTTATGTTAATGTAATAACCTTGTAAAAGTTAGGTCGATGCGTGCTCATTCCCTACGAGTAACTTGTTTACTCACCCCAAAGATGTCGGGTTGTTTTTAGGTATGGATGCCTTGGTTTGGGATGCACAACATCCCTAAGTTGTTTCGATAGATTGAAGTTCTTTTAAGTGATGCAAGTGTTAGCATGTTTGATTTTTACTTTTAAAGTTATAATGCATAGTTAGGTAAAAATGTCAATTTTTGCCTTGGACTTGTAATGTGCACCTAAGCACACTTTTTGACGTTCATTTTATGTATATGATATGTGGTCAAGGGCCAAACTTTAATTAAAATTCATATATATTGAAAAATGTTAAATTTTGCCTTTAATGTGAATAATATGAAAAATAAGGGTTTAATATGTCATTTTTGCACCGGAGTGTGCATTATGTACGAAATTCTTTATTTGGTATTCATTTACCACATATGAGGTGTGGCGAAGGGTCAAACACCATTTTGTTTTAGGTTTTTCAATTTGGTTTCATATACTGCATTTTTGGGCTAAAATAGAAAAATTCGAGCCTTTAAGGGTTCATTTCCAAATCGGGTAGTGCAAAGTGTGCACGAGCACCTCAACAAGGACTCATTTTATATGCATGAAGTGTGGCCAAGGGCCAAATGGTCTTTTGATTGCATTTAGGTACGGTTCTTACAATTTTTGCCTTTGAAGGGCATTTTTCCTGCATTGGGGTTTGGATAGGTCAAATTTTGCATCGGCGGTATTTTTAAGCCATGGATTATTGTAGCACATCCTAATAGGTAAGTTACGTTTGCGTGCATGATTATTTCCGGGCAAAACCTTTTCCTTAGTGATTTGAGCCTCCTATGAGCTCATTTTGCACTATTTATGCCAAAAACTATGCATAAGGCCATTTTGGGGTTTTCACATGAAAAATTAAGTTTTTTTTTTTTTTTTTTTTTTTTTTTTTTTTTTTTTTTTTTTGGCATGGTTGGCTAGAAAACATGATTTTGGAAGGGTTTCTTATTTGTGTTTTTTTTTAAAAAGGCCCAAAAAGTCCTCAAAATTGTGTTTAAAGTTTAGAATTCTACTAAGCTTGTTAGTGGACAAGCGTTCGTAGTTAGGCTGTGGTTACTGCCCTGGGTGTGCCCATTTATGAGTGCTCATCGCGAGCACTCGTCCATCCTTTTGTGTGTGTGTGTGTGCGTGTGTCTTGTTTCAGCACTGCACCTCAAATTTCAAGTTGTCATATCTCCTTTGTTTTAACTTCGAATTGATCTATTCTTGAGTCTAAATTGACCGCGTCAAAATAAGCTTTCCAATGGTACCAATTAAAGCTTCAGATTCTACTTGTATCTCAAGATATTCAAGTTTTAGTGAGGTAGTGTTAGGATTTGGTTCAAACCGGGATGGGGTTTCCCTTCTTTCGACTTTTAGACTTGATATTTTTACCGTCCAGACTCCGAATGAACTGAGTCTTGAGTCCATCCTTGTTAATTTTTTTATTGTCTTTCAAATGGTGTGCACGGTGGAACTCATTTTAGTTTGGAATGACCATTTTGCCCTTGGTCCATTCCTTGGAGGGTATAGAAACCCTAATCCGGTCTTGCTTCTGCTGAGTCACGGGACTCCTCAGAAGGTTGTTTTTGTGTCTTAGAGATGACGTACATTTCTATAGACTTGTTCATGTTTAGCTTCCTCATTTTGGATTCGTTTCAGGTCATCATAGGACACACTGGGTTCTTGTGTCTTAGAGACGTGTTGTATCTCTAGAGACCATTGTT